TTATTAGCTTCTCAGCCTGAAGTTCTCAAAACAACTTCACAGCTGCAGATTGGCTTGCTCTGCACCAGACTGAGGGAAGGGGTTTCTATCTCTTTTAACCAAACAGATATGCATTGGAATCTTCAGATCCTGCCTTCTTTGTCTTGCAAGCACTTTATCCCAATAAAAGTTTTGAAATACCAAGCGTTTCAAGAGTTCTACTTTCTTGAGGAGAGAGGAGAGGCAAGTCCTTACAGCTTCTTACAATCAGCCCTGCCTATGGTCAAATGACTGAATTTCAGATGCTCAGCAACATGACTGCATTTATTTTTTTTACTTTTATTTATTTATTTTGTCAAGTGATTATAAGATAACAGGTATAAGTATAAACATAGTTATGAATACATGAAATGGATACATATAAGAAAAATAAAAAGAAACAATAGGACAGGGATGGTAGGCACGTTGGTGCACAGACCTCTTAGGAAAGGGGTGAGGTCAATAGTAGAAAGTCTAAGGTTAAAGTTTTTGGGGTTTGGGGAAGAAACCACAGAGTCAGGTAGAGTATTCCAGACATTGATCACTCTGTTGCTGAAGTCGTATTTCCTGCAATCAAGTTTGGTGCATTTAACCTCGAGTTTGTATCTATTGTTTGCTCTTGTATTGTTATGATTGAAGCTGAAGTATTCATTGACAGGTAGGACATTGCAATGTATTATTTTATATACTATACTTAGATCAGACTGAAGGCGGCATAGTTCTAGCTTTTCTAGGTCTAGAATTTCAAGTCTGGTGGCATAAGGTATTCTGCAACGAATAGAGGAATGGCGAACTCTTCTTGTGAAATATTTCTGGACTTTCTCAACTGTGTTAATATCAGATACATAATGTGGGTTCCAGATTGATGAGCTGTATTCAAGTATTGGTCTAGTAAATGTTTTGTATGCTCTAGTTAGTAATATTACCTCTAGTTGTAATATTACCAGAGAAAAAGCTACATAAGATTAGGTTAACAACTCTTAATGCCTTTTTGGCTATATAGTTACAGTGGGCTCTAGCACCTCGATCATTAGAGATGAGTACTCCAAGGTCCTTGACAGAGTTTGGATCATCAACAAGGTTTTGGATTGAAGCTTCCTTATTGTTATGGGTAATTTGTTTTTTCTGGTTTTGGGAGTTGTTATTGGTACATATAGTTTGATGACTCTTTTGACTTCAAGTAAAAATATGTTGTAATAGTCTTCAACAGTATTGCATCCAGTGAACAGAAGTTGCCAATCAAGAGATGAGACATCATTGTCTATAAGATCATAGTTGCCTTTTTTGAAGTTATAATTGGGGATCCCATCATTATGATGATTTTTGTGTGGACGTATGTTGAGACAAAAGTCAATCATGTTGTGGTCACTGTTGGAAAAGGGTTCTTTAATTTGTATTCCGTAAATTGAATTCAAACTATTGCAGAAGATGAGATCGAAGCAGTTGTTTAGTATTGTTGGTTACTAATGTGTTTCTCCAACAATACGCCCCACCAATAGGAAGACCCAGCATGTTTTCTAGGCATAAAATGAAATTAAGCCCCTCCCCCCAAATTTAGGCCTAGTTTAAAACATGCAAAATTGGGGGGGGAGGCGGGGGAAACTTGCCATTAGGAGTGCCCCACGGGCAGCTATGCCTCACCATTAGCCGCTCCTAACAGCCAATCATGGTGGAGCACAGAGGGCTCCCTTACCCCCACCAAGCACCTTTGCTGCAGACCCGGGTCAGCAGGCAGGCGTCACCGGTGTGGATGTCCAGCAGCATTTCAGCCGCTTCTCAGGTCTCCGTAGCTTCCACGGTTCCCACCGGTGCTGGCGCATCTCTCGCCAGCGCCGTCTCCAACAACAGCATCTGAGTTGCTCCTGCTTTCCCCCCATCCCCGTAACAACAGGAAAAAAAACATTTTGAGGTACCTGGGAGCGCCATGCGCTGCGTTTTGGTTTAATCCCGAGTGGCTGGGTGGGCGTGAGAAGAGCCGAGCAAGCGTCTCTGCTGCTGCTACCCTTGGTGCTCCAGCCTCGGGCTCTGCAAGTTTGCAAAAGTCCCAGTGCGCAGCCCCTTCCTGCATTCCAAGCGCCCAAGCCGAGCTGCAGCTGTCCCTCTCTCACCAGCGCCATCTCCAATAACAGAGGCAACAGTGGCAGGAACCATGGAAGCATTTCAGCTGCTTCTCGGGTGGAGGAGCTGCCTCCGTAACTTCCACAGTTCCCACCGCTGCTGCCGCTGTTATTGGAGATGGCGCTGGTGAGAGAGGGACAGCTGCAGCTCGGCCTGGGCACTTGGAATGCAGGAACAGGCTGCGCACTGGGACTTTTGCAAACTTGCAGAGCCCGAGGCTGGAGCACCAAGGGTAGCAGCAGCAGAGACGCTCGCTCGGCTCTTCTCATGCCCACCCAGCCACTTGGGATAAAACCAAAATGCAGCACGCAGCGCTCCCAGGTACCTCAAAATGTTTTTTTTTCCTGTTGTTATGGGGATGGGGAAAAAGCGGGAGCGACTCAGACGCTGTTGTTGGAGACGGCTCTGGCAAGAGAGGCGCCAGCACCAGTGGGAACCATGGAAGTTACGGAGGCCTGAGAAGTGGCTGAAATGCTGCCAGCAGACATCCCTGCCCGCCTGCTGACCTGGGTCTTCAGTGCTTGGTGGGGGTAAGGGAGCCCTCCACTCTCCACCATGATTGGCCATTAGGAGTGGCTGGTGGCAAGGCATAGCTGCCGGCGGGGCACCCTAGGTGAGGGTGTGCCGGGGGAGAAAGAAATTAATTCACCCCCAAAAAGACATCCTAGCCATTTTTTCGGGGCTCAAAAAAAAATAAGACCCAGCCTTATTATATGAGAAACACGGTAGTTGTTCTCGTCCCAGATTTGTTACAGCATTGTAGAAGGTTGCGTGTATGGGTTCAGTTTTACATTTGTTTAGGGTCCAGTTAATATGAGGTAGATTCAGGTCACCAAGAAAGATAAAAGCGTGTGGACAGGATGTTGCCCATGTTAGTAGTGAATTTAGCTTGTTTACATGTTCAGTGTCATAATCAGGGGCTCTGTAACATAGTAAGAATTGAAATGTGATATTTAAGGACAGTTCACAGATGATGGTCTCAGGAAGAGCAAACCCCTGGGTAACTTGGATGTTTTTAGATGTATGGACTTTTTGTAGAAGATACCAACACCACCTCCTCTACAGATTTCACGATCTGATCGATAAACATGATAGTTTCTTACTGTGGTAATGGAGTCAGGGAGTGATGCATTGAGCCATGTTTCACAGACAAATATGTTGTCGAATTTAGCCGTATTTAGTAAGAGGAGAAATTCAGGTATTTTATTTACAAGGCTTCTTGCACTGAGTAGCTTGCATTTAAGGCCAGTTATAGTTGGAATAGAGGTAGTTAGAGGCATGCGTGGCTAGTTTTGAGTGATGGTGGATTGGATGGTGTAGGGTTGGATGTGGTGTTGCGGGTTGTGTGACTTTCTTTTGATGCAATCAGCTTGGTAGTCAATGTATAGGTCCTTTTCTCCATTGTCTAGATGTTTTTTGAGTTCTGTGCGGAGTTCATGGGAGCAGATTCTTTGAAGTATGGATAAGTCTCATCTTGAGCGAAGTTTTTTATGGGTGGGATTGGTTTTTGCAATGGCGTTTATTGTATGAATGAATATACGTTTGCTGGACTCATTTTTGCAAACAACTCTACAAAATCTTGGGGCCACAGAGCTGTCATTGTATTTGAACTCAGGGCCATCTCTGGTTATTTCAATAATATCTTCAGGAGAGATGTTTGTTGTATTTGAGTTGCTTATGATATTGCGAACTTTGGTGATGTCGTCTGATTTGTTGGTGTCTTCAAGACCAAATAAGATGGCATTTGGACATTTCTGATCACGTTCCATGATATCTCTGAGGAGTAGGGGGATATCATTTGTGGAATTATTTGATGGGATAGTAATTGTTTGTGGCTGTGGTTTGATGGTTATTTTTGGTTGTAGTGATCATGTGCTTTATGACAATTTTGTTAAATGCCAGCATTTATTTCTGGTTTTCAGAAAAATGACATCCATATTGAACCATTAGTTTGCTTAACAATTGTGGCTTTTGCTTAATGACCCCAACAGCCACTGTAGGAGATGACCAGACTGAGGCCAAGGAAAAGGTCAAATCACCATCAGTCATGAGTCACTGCATGCCCACAAGAGATCTAAGTCCAGGCCACGTTGAATGCCTTTAAATTCCTGCAAATTTTCCTTGACCATTAGTAGCTCAGATTTCGTAGAGAGTTTAAACTTGCAATAAATCTTTATATTCATTTGAACTGCCTGAATCTCCTGATTTTCCTGGTGCTTGACAGCCAATGTACAGCCACCACAAAAATTATTGTAAAATTTGATTGGTCATGTAACTTGTAACATTTTACATGTAACATTTTACAACCATCATGACTAATGATTGTGAAGGGAAGACTCCATTGTAGTCATAACTTGAGAACTACCTATATAAACAGAATCATAGAATACAAATGTAAATCACATGCTGTGCAATATACTTCTTTCATGGCATTATTATATACAGAAAATGTGAAATCACAACTGCCAGTTATTTACCTGGTGTGGGCCTCCATTCGTATCAAGTTCTCGATATTATTATTATTACAGCCAGATGATTAGAATAGATTTTGAATTTTTATCCACTTATCAAGTTCTTCCCAAGGATCAAGAATAGGGAGATATTGTTCTTTATTTCTGTTATTTAATAACTGAAAAGATTTTGCATTTTTCTTTGCAAGTGAATAAATTCAATTTTACTAAGACTAAAAGAGAACATGTTAGTACTTCCTGTCTTCATGGACAACTGAATAAAGAGACTTACATCAGTGAACTAACATTGTAATAATAAAGATTAAGATAATGAAAATTAGTAATATTTTCTTTGAACATAAACTAAATACATTTGTATGATTTTATGTTTCATGTTTGTTTTTTAATTAACAGCTTCTGTCCAGGGCCCATGGGAAAGGGCTATATCACCAAATAAAGTGCCCTACTACATAAAGTAAGTATTAAAAACTCATAATGCTTAACTTTTGGAAGCTTATCAGGCAATTAATTTAATTTGCTTTGAAATTACAAGGATTCCATTCCTTTGAACGATACTGGTTGATACTTCAGTTGCCTTCTATTATCATCATGAGCAGCAAAATAATTATTTAAAGAAATCAAGTTGTTAAGATTGCTTGCTGTTAGAATTATAACATTCAATATAGTACATAACTTCCAATCGAATTCTGCTTGGTACATTCTTAATATTCAATGTTTTACTGCAAGGCTGCAACAAATTATTTGATCCTATCAATTATAACTAGATATTTATACAGTTGATTATTTAATAGCAATTATTTTTGCAGACTGGAATTGTAGTTTGTGTAAGAAAAAATAATGGGCAAGCCCAAAATTAAGGGAATGTGGCCCAGAATTCACAACAATTCATAGTTCATTTTCTTCAGAAATAATTAAAAAGTGGGTTTCCCACTGTAGTGGCTGTTAATTGAAGTCAATTACCACAAACAGGATTCCTCTTTATGGGCCATCTACTTTCTTCCTATTCTTCACCTCAATAGAATGATCCTTCCAAAACATCACTTCATACTTCTGGACTATAGGCATGTTGTTTTGGGATGAGTTTGATTTGATGGCCAGCCCTAAGAAAGAAAGTAATCATTTGTTATAACCAAACCATATTTTATCTTACTATACAAATAAGACATATATTATGGAATAAATTCCCATGTGAATTAAAGCAAATATCTCCTGCTTACTTTAGTTTAGGAGCGTAGTGGGCATGTGGTCAAGACTTGTGGCTTATCAACTGGAAGGTTGGCAGCTTGAGACCTAAATATGTGTGATGGAGTAAGCTCCCATTACTTCCCCCAGTTCCTGCCAACCATTTGAAAGCATGCAAAATAGATAAATAAATATTGCATTCTGTGACCACATGATCACAGAAGTGTTTTTGCACAATGCTAGCTGTTCAGCTGTGAATTTGAGATGAGCACTACTCCCTACGCAGAGTCAGAGATGATTGGCAGGGGAAACCTTAACCTTTTTTTAAAAAAAACCTGAGTTTCATAATAGGCAAAATGTATCTAAGTGGATGAGTGGATGGATGGATGGATACAATATATAAAATAAAATGCATATTTTTCTAAAATATGACTTTTCTAATCAGCCCGATTTGTCTTTCTATAGCTACCTTGTCTGTAGCCCAGGTTTCTGTGTGTGCATTTGTGTGTGTAAGCACAAATGCATATTTTCTCACACGCATCTGAGACTATAAGTAAAAAAAAAGGTCCATGATCTGAAAACAGTGAAATGTATCAGTCTGAGTTGCTATTTGTACATACTTCTTCCCATACCCAATTCAGTCTGGTAGTGTTCATAGTTAAATATTAAGATATATTTACCCTTATGCTAAGCAGTTGAATATAGCTTTTGTGAAGCATAAGATACTAATAAAAATATTTAGGAAATACAGCAACACTATATAATCATCATCAATATTTTACAATACTACAATATTTAATGAAGTAGTTCCAGTAAACTTAATACACCTGTCTTATAGCTCCTATCTTGTATAATGGACAGCTGTGCTATTATTTTCATGAAGAAAATAGAAATATATTATTTTGAATTCAGCTTAATTGTTAGAAAAGTATATGCACTTTTGGTTTGGGAATGAAAGAGGTATTTTATTTTTGTTTAATGTTTCTCTTTTTATGATTTAAGAGAAAAATCACTCTAAGCTCTAAAGATTTTCATTCAGTGTCATATCTGTGAGCTAACTTCCTTGAAACTTCATTTAGTATAAAGTTGCCTTAACCAGACCTTTTCAACAAATATTTTCACTAGGCAACTTAAGACCCTTGGACAACTTAGGCTACAAGCTCCATCAGATCAAATGGCTAGAGTTAGATTAATTTACACATTGCTGAGAACTTATCAGACAAAACTTCAGAAGTAGCCAGGGGTGGGATTCTACCGGTTCTGTCTGGCTCTGTAGAACTGGTAGCTCTGAAGATGTTTTGGCCCACCCGCCCGCCTGGGCTCTTATCTGACCTTTATTTCCTGCTTTTTCAACCTCAGTTGCCATGCAAGGCACAGCTGCAGTTGAAAAAGCAGAAAATAACTGCTTTTTCAAACGCTGCTTCCCTGCACGCAGCGCTACTCAGCTGTTCAGGCAGCAAGCTGACGAAGATTTACACACGCGTGCAGTGTGCAGGGAAGCACATTGTAAATCACCAAACAGGTAGTTAACCCTATCAGATCCCACCCCTGGAAGTAGCCCTGTAGTAATATAGTTAATATGTACCTATGCATGCTAATCCATTCTAGGTTGCTACTAAGACTTCTCATGGTACATTCTTACTCAGTGGTGGGATTCAGCCGGTTCAGCCAAACTGGTAGCTAACTTTTTGTGCAATTCAGCAAACCAGCTAAAAATAAAGTGCAAGAGAGGGTTTTTTTCCTTCTCTCTCCCTTTAACTAATAGCTCCAGGCAGGCAGCCAAGAATCACTTAACAGGTGAATACTTAGTTGTGATAACAAAACCACAGGAATGTAGCTGGCACATGCCTTGAATAAACAATAAAAACTGACAGGATTAGGGCAGGGAAACACCAGGAAACATCAATGACCTATCTAGGGTTGGGATTAACCTCTTCCCTTCAGGAAGAATGACAAGATTACAAACATTTTCATTACAAAGAGTATTAAGTAACACTTCTGTGATCAGTTGATACTCCCTAGGTCAGGGGTCCCCAACCGCCGGTCCGCGGACCGGTACCGGTCCGCGGAACAAGTCTTACCGGGCCGCTGGTTGCTGGGCACCGCCATCTTTTTTGATGAAAAAGTGCTTCCGGTGAGGTCACCGGAAGCACTTTTTCGTCAAAAAAAGATGGCGGCGCCCAGTTGATGCTGGTACCGGGCCGCGGCGCCCAGCTGATGCCGGTACCGGGCTGCGGCATAAAAAAGGTTGGGGATCACTGCCCTAGGTGACTAGGTTGTGCCAGTTTGATGAAAGGTGGATGTCTCAGCTCTCTTCTCCCTGAGATCCTCTGCTGGTGCCTCCACTTTTCTGTCTTAATTTAGCTGCTTAGTGATTTCTGCTGCCATTGCCTGTCAATCACATGGATGTGTTTATTTGATGTTTTCCCACATAACCCTGGCATGTGAGACAGGTAAAAATTTCACAGGCTATGCCAGGGGTCTGCAACCTTAAACACTAAAGAGCCACTTGGGCCCATTTTCAACAGAAAACAAAACACTGGGAGCCACAAACCCTGAGTTGGCATGGCCAACTTGATATCACTCACTCCCACCCAGTCACATGACTCCCCCAGCTATGCATACCCAGGTTTTGCGGCTCCCAGTGTTTTCTTTTATATGGGAAATAGGTATCTCCCTCTCTCTGTCTCTCTCCCTCTCTCTTTCCCCTCTCCCTCCCTCTCATCTCTCTTTCTCCCTCTATCTCCCTCTCTCTCATCTCTTTCTCTCTCTCATCTCTCTTTCTCCCTCTCCCTCCCTCCCATCTCTCTCTCTCTCCGTGTCTATCTCCCTCTCTCTCATCTCTCTCTTTTTCTCTATCTCCCTTCCTCCCATCTTTCTCTCATCTCTTTCTCTTTTTCTATCTTCCTCTCTATCACGCTTTCTCTCTATCTCCCTCTCATCCCTCTCTCTCTCATTTCTTTCTCTCTCCCTCTCATCTCTTTCTTTTTCTCTGTCTCCCTCTTTCTCCCTCCCTCTCATCTCTTTCTGTCATCTCTTTCTTTTTCTCTCTATCTCCCTCTCTATCTCCCTCTTATCCCCCTCTCTCCCTCATCTCTTTTCTTTTTCTCCTTCGCTCTCTCCCTCCCTCCCACTCCCTATTTCCACTTCCCAACCCAAACACCCAGGGAATAACTAAGGAAATTTGAGCATGTTCTCTCTATCTCTGGAAAGATACAAAAATAAACCTTGCATTGCAAAAAGAGTGACTGTCAGGCTGTAGATCACCACATGCACTTCAGAGAAGCATCATCCCAAGCAGCAGCAAATTTACACAGGCACACATATGCATTCAGCAACTCAGTCCAAAGTGGCTGGAAAATATAGTCCCTGGGTGCCCCTGAAGACACTTGGCAGGCAAAGTATGGGGATAAAACTCCCCCGCCATCACCAAGGCAGCGTCTGCTGAATCCTTGCAAAACTGGGCAAGGCGGAGAGAGGAGAGCAGACAGAGACGAATTGAGCTGAATCTGTTTCCCTCTCGTTGTGTCTCTCTCGCTGCCTTAATGGTGGGAAATGGCAGGCAGCTACTTCCAGCTTTGTTGGTGCTGGACACACAACCTCCTCTCCACTGAGAGAGACAGAAACAGAGAGAGAGAGAGAAAGAGAGAGAGAGGGAGAGAGGGGAAAGTGGAGACTTCTAAGTATCCAAATGCAAAGGGAAGCAATGCTAAGGAATTTTAAATGTTTATAGGTATGATTTTGAAATGCAGGCAAAAGGATATGCCAGGGGTGAGTGGGGCAGGGTCACATTATGTTGTAATGGGCTCCAGGAGGAGGAGGGGATCCAGGATCCCCCATTGTGAAGCACACTTTCGCTGTGCTGCTCAAAGGGGGGATTGGGTCTTTCCCCTCACCCCACCCCATGCCAAAGGAAAGCCAGCTGGGCTTCTCCTTCCTTCCTTCCCTTCCTCCTTCCCCCTATTCCTTCAGGATAGAGGAGTGCACGCTGGAAACGCGTGTTTGGGGCGATGTTGGAGCGTGTCTTCTGACCCTCGCCTGGAACTCTCAACACTCCTCCAGGCTCAGCTTGCTGTGTGGTGCCCTGACACTTCTGATGCCCCCCCCATAGTCCCAGCCATTGCTGCCAGGGAAGGCACAGGAAAAGAAAGCAAACAGAAACATAGCTTTCACTGGGATGAAAGAGCTGAGATCGGGGAATGCACAGGCAACAGAAAGCAATGCATTTCAAAGGCAGCAGCTTGTGGCTGAAGGTGCCGAACAGCGTCCCAC